ATACCTCCCACCTTATGTAAAACACTTGTATTCGCTGTCGTGCTCTCATAAAAAAAATTAATGTTATTAGATATTAAATTCCTTTAACACAAATCTTCGATCTGGTTCCCATTACTATTCAGGTGAGTTTTAGGGAGATATTATTATAGAAAATCTACGAGCCATTCAAGGGGATACTAGAGTGAATTATGCCAGTTTACTTTATATGCTTTATCACCATTATTATTGGAGATATTAGTGACAAATGATACACTTCACTAATAGCTTAAACTTTCGGTTGAGGTAGTCATTCAACATGGTATCAGAGTCAGACCAAATGAAAGGTCATGAGTTCGAATCCCACCGGTATCCATTTCAAATATTTCAAGTGCAAGGCTTCAAATATAATTTGCTTAAACTTTAGGGGGCGAATTGAAGATATTAGTATTAAATAATAATAGCTTAATTTTTGGTTGAGGTGGTCATTCAACAACTATATTTGGTTCGTTTTTTTCTCCTTTTATAGCAAGTAAATGTGATCTGTCAAAACTACAAGATAAGGATGTTGGATGTACATCATTTTTCTTAGACATAACAGGCATGGGAGGTACAACCGTACATGTGAAGTCAACAACAAATGGATTCTCCGATCCATGGTGTAGTCACATGATGATGAAACTGATAGCTGAAGGACAAAATGAAGCCATCCAAAATGCATAGGCATAAATTTCAGCTCAATCTTGTATTCTCGAATGGTTTTACTAAATAGTTAGTTTAAGGAAGCTAAGTGAAGAAATGGTTGTACATGTAGTCCGTTCTTTGTTTTGATATTTCATGACATACCAATGGTTGAAGACAAATTGTTTTAGTTTCATTAATATATTTCATTGTTTTATTTAGCATTGTAGCAGGTTTTACTGTATACACGCCAAGATTATGCTCTTGATACGCTCTTTTAGAATGCATTCAAATAGACAATCAACTCAGTGCTCTAGAATAAAGAAGGCACATTTTACTACGCTTGAGATACAAGTTCACTTGAGATATATCTGTCAATCTTTGTAACATATCAAAGATAACATTGTATGCAAACTTATGGACAATATCTAAAGTTCTTCCATGAATTATTTATTCTTTATAATTAGACATAGTTTCACTTTGTGAAATTATTATGTCATTATTTTGACAGGATGATGGCCTGGTACATAGTATGTCAAAGTCAAAATGCCCTGAGGTATGTTATTAAAATATGCAAGTCTCCTTTTTGTTTATGAGAACCTCTCATCTTCTATGTTTCGAATTTATCTAAATTCTCTAACTCTGAAACAATCGAGACCATTATAGAGCTACTCTAGACTTGCGGTCATGTGGAGTGATACTCTTTGTAAAGGTTGCACGAACCTAACCTTCTCTTTACACTACTGTGAAGCATATAGACCAATTAAATTTGTGTAGAGTATGTTTGGAACATAATTTATATTCATGCTCTTTGCTAGCTGGAAATTATGTTAATGCACAAGCTTCTAAGTTTTTTGTTTATTTTTCTAATGTATGTTTCATCATTCAATAAGGAAAAAAAATGGAATTGGTTAAAGACATGGTAATCCATAATAAGCAGAGTACTGTTGCATAAGGACTAGGTGTGCCATGAGGAACATTACAATTGGATGATGCATTTTGGTTATCATGAGTACATTTGCTGTCCCACCAGAGAGTTATAAGAGTTGTATTAGTTTTCAATCATTTCACATAGACATCATTAACTTCAACAACTATCATATTACAATAGCAATACTAAACAAAATCTCGTAATTGACTACAGATCTGATCATAAATCTCGAAAAATATGTTTTCCTAGGATTCACCTAAATTTCAATGTATATGCAATACAAAGAAGATAAGAGAAGCATTTTAAGTTAGATTTGATGTAGTTTACATTTCTCCAATGTTTACAGAAGTAGTGTTAAGTGTATATTTTTACACTTAATCGTACCTTTTAATTGGAGCTTTTGGTGTGTTTTAATGATAATTGGTGCTTAAAATGTTGATTTATTGTATTTTAGGTACAAATTGAAGAATTGGATAAGTATGGGGTAAAAACTGCAATTTTGGAGAAAATATGGGCGAAAAGTGAAGAAGTAAAAAATCTGAAGAATTATAGCCCAGACGTCCCTCTGAGAATTACACTTAAATCTCAGACGGTCGTCCGAGAAACATAGGCCATAGGCAGTCTCTGGAATTGAGACGGCGGTCCGAGTTTTAGTACATAATCTCAGACGGCCGTCCGAGAAGGCGTAGAAGCGCAGTAAATGAATTTTAATTGCACAGTTAAACTACCTTCTCCTCCAAATTTGCCACCCTATATAAGACCAAGCCAAACACATAATTGGGCATCAATCTTTTACGCAATTTCAAGAGCAACGAAGCAATAACAAAGACGAAGAATTCGAAGATTACAAGCATAGTTTATCTTTTTATGAATTATTATTTTGTTTTTACTTTAATCATGAGTAGCTTACTCTTTTATTCATAGGATTTTATTTCGAACTCTATGTGGGATTTATGAACCCAATTCTATAATTTAATGCAAGTTTTAATTCCGAATTATTTCTTCTACTTGTTTTATTAAGTGCATAAACTTGATCACATTATGTGCTTTTATGTTATTGTTAATCGCATGAATCGGAAGATCGGGTTAATAATTAGAATTGTGGTAGAAGAGCCTTTGTGGTATTAACATAGGAATATAGTTAATCTCTTAGGTAGCCATTATTGAAACTTGTGCTTAATGTTGTGTTCTAGAATTAATTGCGTAGGAATACAGTAATTGAATCTAGAGTATTAGAATCGTAATACACGCGGAAGCGGGTTATGATTAATTTAGCATCTCAGGTTAATAATCTGAGTTAATTACTTGCATAATTGAAGGGATTGAGGGAGTAATAATCACATAGGGGGGAGAATAAAATCCTAGGTTTGCTTTCTCTGGTTAAATGTTCGATTTTACTTGCTTTCTTGCTTTTGTCTTTTTAATTTGCTTAATTGAGTTTAGTTAATTTAGTTTATTATTCATCTTTCGACTGTGTAGGGTGGGCTTGATAATAATTGATAGGATTTAGCGTCTAGGATTAAGTAATTAAATATTCTCTGTGGGATCGATATCCGGACTTAATTGCCAACTATATTACTTGTACGATACGTGCACTTGCGTGTAGGTATTATCACCAACAAGTAGCAATATGTTTTTGGTCTAAAACCAATTGACTCGTATTTAATAAAAGGCATCTTGCAATCTAATATGGACACAAAAAAATTATTTTCACCATATAATAATATTACGACACGTGCAACGCACGTGCACCTTGCTAGTTGGTTAAAAATGCTAATTAAATCTAGGTTTTTTTCAAATCAGTCGCATAATAAGCAAATGAATCATTTGTTCGTGGAGCGGTGGAAGAAGATGGTCGTGGCTGTGTCTTCACCGCCACTTCCCGCGTCGTCATCAATGTCGAAACTCTCAACATCATCGATGGGCCGTCACATTTATGCAATGAACAACAATCTTGACAAGAGGTATATTTCTTGATGTTTTTTTATATTATTTGTTTGGATGTGAAGTTCGATCAGAGTACGTAAACTATATTGTAGATGTCTCCATTTTTGTTTATATCATAACAATATTACGTTCACGCAATCATAACCCTCTCTTTGTCAATCGGTTTCTCTTCCGCATATTGATTTTCTTGGAAGAACAAAATGTTTTTAATATATTTGTTGTAGTGCAGTGTTGGTATCTCTTTTGTTTTTGCCTTAACTTGAACTCCTTTCAATATGATTGGTTCGTAGTGGTGGTCTCTGGCTTCATCATTCCTGATATTGATCGAATATAAAATTTCCTCGTTATATTATTTTTATATTCTTTTTAAAATAAAGTGCATGTTTTTTGGGCTCGAGTTCTCCTTTGGGTTTTATATCCCTCGAACATTTTTGTAGCCTCAATTGTTATCTCTTCGTTATTTGGTAAAGTAATGAGTTAGCAATCTAGGATCAGTTTAAATTTCGCTTATTGTCAATTTTTCGCCTAAATATTTGACTTTCTTGAATGAAATTGTAGGATCAATTTAAATAGTTAGGCATCTTTTGCAAGAAATCTTCGTTTGACAACTTTCTCAAAAACCAAATTATGTTTTGAATCTATGTGAATTTATACTCTATTTATGTTTCTCAAATTGATTAAATATTTGTATCTGATTTTTTAAAAGTATTTTAACATCTTTCCATCAAGTTTTCTATTTTTCACAACATATGATATGTAAGGCTTACACTTTTTGGATTGTATTACATCCTTGAATGTAGGGTTGTGCGTTGGTTGGGTTGGTTAAAAACCAGCCATAAAATCAACTCAACTCATGCAACCAACTTTTGTAATTATTAAAACCGTTATCGACCCATTTACATGGGTTGGGTGATGGTTGAAAACCAATTTAGTGGGTCGGTTGATGGTTTGGTTGATGGGTTAACCATCTAAATATTTTTTAATCTTTTTTAATATTTTATTAGTTGTTACATTGCTATTATCTTTTATAAATTCAATATGACTAGTTCAATAATATTCAAATAAAAAAATTTAAAACATTACGGGTCATATGTATTGCAATTAAACATAAATAGTTCAAAAAATACTTTTATACGATTATAGGAAGTTTAGAATGTTCGCCCAATAAGAAGTATATGAAGTTGGGGCCATTATTCCAAATTTAATAATTGAGGTCGTCCATAATTGTATTATGTGACCTGTACACTAATTTTACTTAAGTGGGCCGACAGTGGCGAAGTCGGAATTTTACAATCGCCAGGAGTTGAGTACATTAAATATGTAAATAAAAAACAACAATAATTGCTCCAAGAATGGCTGAGTTTAAAATACTTCTATACGATTAGATAAATTTTTTGAGGTTTCAGGGGCATCGCCCCCGAAAAAAAATTTAGAAGTTTTGTCTTTTAAATTGATAAAAACTCGAAAATAATACGAACTCGGATAAATAATTATGTGGTGTCATTGAATGCAACATTCAACAATAAGATGCAACCACCAATTTTCTTTCCGTTGAAATTGACAACCCTAATTACACAAATGCCCCTTTGTTCTTCCACCACAAAATACAACTATAATATCACCCACACAAAAACAAAATAAAATCTCCAATAAAAAGAATTAAGCAAAAATGTGAAATTAACTAACCATTACATATAAGGGACACTAAATATTTATAACACACCAAAACATTAGAATTTCACTCAACTAGCAATAATTTGACGACTCGACCGATCAGTTTCAGTCGTTGTTCGAGTCTGATCGTTGTTTTCGTTGCTGTTTTTGGTTTTCGTAATCTCGCCGAAAAAATACGAAATAAAACCCCAAAGGGAGAGAAAAAGAGCGATACCTTTTTCGGCTTGGAATTTTTCATTGTAAATAAAGACGCCTAATATTTGAGTAATAGGAATTGTAACGGTAATAATAATAGCACATAGAAGTGAAGAGGAATAGAATATCACTCCAACAACTCCTAAGAAGAATAGTTGCCAAATTATTGCGCTCCATATTACCACTAGATAATATTTCATTTCTCCGAGTTCATATTCTTTTGCTTCTCTTGAAATTGCCTGCAAATTATACCAAATTTTGTAAAAAAAAAAAATTGTTTTTTTTAATAATTTTTTTCTTACTATATTTGTTGCATAATAACTGTCTATTTTTTTTAAAAAAAAATTGTTTCATAATATGTCACTTTAGATTTTCAAAACTGCATTAAACGCGTTATATTTCCTATTTTAATCTTATTAATTCGACTCTAATACGTTTTTTTATATGATCATGGTTATTTCAGTCTTTTAATGTGTTTTTTCTAAAAATCAAGACGCACTTATTGAGATTCTTAATATTTATGCAAAGCTAAAAACGAAAATTAATTAGGAACGGAGGAAGTACTTTACAATGTCCAAATATCACATGCATTAATTTATTGTGTTATTTACTCTAATTATTCCCAAAAAAAAATAAAAAAATACTATGAACAAAAGTTTCTATATGATTCAAATTTTTTAGTACCCTAAAAAAATCGCGAATTAGGGATTTTTCCCCGAGTATATATCATTTTAGAGTTCTGATAATGTATTAATTTGCGTCTTCCTTATATTTAAAATAAATTCTTTATTATGAATTTATGAGTGTAATTTGTTTTTTAAATTAATAATTTTGTTAGAAATATTAATTTACAAAATATTATGAAAATAGGGAGTAATTAAATTAAATAAATAAATAAATTACCTGGAAGTCATTATTGATGAGCATTCCAACAGTGCAGAAAAGTGTGGCAAAGAAACATATAACCAACTGAATCTCCATAATCAGTGTATACGTTAAGGCCTGTTTGGCCTTCTTATACATCAGCTCCACCACCGGCAGAATGAATCCGTACAGCCCCGCCGCCGACAGAGCCATGAAGAACCCCACCACGTACTCCTTCTCCGACTCCCCCTCCGGCCGGTCGCCGCTCGTGTGGAGCCCTAGCACCACCGTCCCCACCGTCAGCAGAACCACCGCGTTCACCGAGTACGCCGTGAACTTCTGCTTCACCAGGAGGAACGCGAACGCCGCCGTGAACACCAGGTGCGTGGCGGCGAGGAGGGCGGCGGTGGAGATGGGGAGCTCCGCCACCCCTTTCGCGTAAAGGTAGTCGTCGAGGCCGGTGAGGATTCCGATCGCTGATGCGGCCGAGAAGAGGCGGGGCTTCATGAGGAAGAGCTTCGCCGCTCCATCGGCGGCGGTGGTGGTGCTCCGGCGGCGGCGGCGGCGGCGGCTGATGTATGCGGCGAGGAGGGGGATGAGGATTATGGGCCATCCGCCGGTTTCGAGCCAGCTGGAAAACCAGATTCTTTTGCCGCCGCGTATGAAGTAGAGGCGCATAATTAAAGGGCCGCCGGAGTTTCCGACGGCGAGTATGACGCCATTCATAATCAAGAAAGTAGTTTTCATGGCCGCGGTGGTGGTGGTGGTCGGCGTTTCAGCTTCCATTATTGCTTCTGATTTTTTTGTATTATTTTATTAATAATTTATTTGATTCTAATTTTGAGTTAGAATTATGATGATGCTAAAATATAGCTCACCTAGGATGGTGTACAAAATGGACTGGGAGAGCAAAACAGATCAGTAGCTTGACAACTTGATGATCCTGAGGTACCTGCCCTGCGATCATAGAATACACATGAACTAGGCCGGGGTTGATCCGGCGGAAACCCCTCCGACGCTCAAGAGACGTGTGGATAGTGAAAATAGTCCAGAGAATACAGTTGTAGTATTCTCAGTTAATCGGACGTACCTTAAGGAATGAATTCAAACCTTTATTTATAGTTTAGTTGAGATTGTCGGGCCCAAACCTTGCTTGAAGGTGATTGGGCCTCGGTGATAGTGGTCTTCGATATTGGGCTCGTCGCCCAGTAGGTAAGTAATTTGTAGGCCCATTGAATTGACCCAATTATGCATATCAAATTACAATTAGAATAATAAATTATGTAAGTATATATACATACATGATATAGCACATGCATATGCACCACCAATTATATATATATATATATATATATTAGTTTAAATATAAAAATATTCTAATAATTAATCCTAATACTTTTTTTTAATGTTTTATTTGTCAAAAGCATATATTATAATAACCATTGATGAATTTTGTCACACTTTCAAATGCTAATTATTTATTTAGTATAAAAATCAATCAAAAATAAAATTAAAATGTATACTTCAAAAATAAAGTTCATTGAAACGTATAAAAAACTAATTTTACTTGTAAATTGTAATATTATTTCTTAATTAATGTTATAATAATTTTAATTGATAATTCATTAGCACTGAATTCTATCGATTTAAATGATGTTGACAAGTCAATGTGTCTCATTGAACACTAAATTCGACGTACTGATTTATTTATTTATTTAAAAAGTTAATGTTGAGAAGTCTAATAATATGGATACGTATTAAATATGTCAATTTTTTAGGATTCTAATTATTGAAAATTGTCATACATTATGAAAGAAAAACATATCTATATATTCATATCTAATTATAAGAACATTTAATCTACTTACAAAAAAAATTGAAATTTATAAAATGACATTATGAAATACTTATAATTGTTTTTCTTATCAAAAAAAAAAAAAATTGCACAAGAATGTTTTCCAAAATAAAATTCGTTTATAAGGCTCCGAATACAACATGTAATCGATTGAACTTATAATTATTACCACGAAAAAAAAATCCTATTAAACACCAACATATATATATCAAGGAGGAGTGAAAAAACGAAATCAAAGTTTATACACCAATATATATATATATATATATCAAGGATTTATAACAACCCGATGAGTCAACTCGGTTTCTGTAGCCTGAGTCTGGTCGTTACTTTGATCGATGTTGTTCTTGTTCTTGTTCTTGTTCTTGTTCTTGTTCTTTTTCATCTCGCCATAAAAGTAGGAAATAAATCCCCAAAGAGATAAGAAAAGAGAGAGACCCTTTTCAGCTTGAAATTTCTCGTGGTAGAAAATAATGGCTAATATTTCGGTTGCTGGTAGTAAAACCGTAATTACGATGCCCGATAGAAGCGACGAAGAATAGAATATAACTCCGATGGCTCCCAAGAAAAAACATTGCCAAACTATGGCACTCCACACAACAACTATATAGTATTTTGTCTCCCCAAGTTCATATGCTCTTGCTTCCCTTGCAATTGCCTGCAAATTAAACAACTTTTTTTCCTTTAGATATATTGATAGTTATATCCGAACAAAGTTGATGAGTGTGGTTATAATTATCCAAACATGAGGCATTTTTCGATGATTTAATCTTACTTAAATGATTTTTCGATAGTTTTACGCTAGGTTTTAATATTGTCACAATAGCTCATATTATATGTTCGAAAAATAGGATGCCGGTCTTGTATGTAATTTAATATTGTATTTGTTTCTATTTCAATTAGAATCGAGGACGTGACATGATAAATTAAATATGTATTTATAAGGGAAAAGTACACTTCACCCCCTTCAAAAATGCATGTTTTGCACTTTCCCCCTTCAAAATACAAAAATGAGACTGTCGCCCTTCAAAATACGCAACTCGGTTCACTTTGGCGAAATGTATTTTCGGTCTAATTCTCAGCAAATGAGGGCTGCATGTGTCATTTACATCTTCTGCTTGAG